GGATATGTTAAGTCTATGCGAATGTGTATAATGCCAAGGAGGGCTTGAGATAGATCTCATTTTTATTATGCCGATCGATTTAGAAAATGATTCCAAACTTGTTTCTGTGTTTGTCCGTCAATCCATTCCATGCGTGTTCATTTGCTTCTATGTTGAACCTGTGTCGGTATATACGGTATATGGTATAGAACAACTTGTTTTGGCCCAAGGATGAATGCTATTGACAAGGGTTCGGATAAAAAATTACTTTTTTGTCGATTTCTCTTGTATTAAGCAAAGTGCAGGGAAGGGACATATTGGTGACATACTATAGTGTTTCTATTTGCTTACAACTATGTCTGATAAAAATGATTTTTGTTTTTTTTTTTTTGCAATCACAAACCTATCGCTTACATCATCGTATCATACATTTAGATCAAGTTTAAATATGGATACGATCCGCCCATTAGAATGCTTGGAATTTAAATAAGAATTAGAAAACGGCGAGCATTTTAATACATATATATATATATATATATATATATATATATATTTATGTGTATTTTCTTCCTTTTTGCGTGACTTTTGTGCTTTCAGAGCAATGTAAAAGCTTGGTACGATTTCTAATGATTGAAAGCAGAACGAATTCATCAAAGTAAAGGCATACCATATAAGAAGAACTGAATAACTTGATATGATATGAGAGAATCATAGACTTTTATAAACATCTAGCTCGATATCTAGTAAACAAAATGAAGAGATTAAAGAAGACGGAGCTATTTAATTGCGTTACACAGTCAGACATGTAGGCGACCCTATCAAAAGTGTGTCTAGATTATAGGAAGCCGTTAAGTCGAGTCCCTCGGTTGCTCTAGTGTTGTACGGTTTTTTTTTGCATTTAACTTAATATCTTACTCATTTGCGATAGTTTTATATTAAATCTTCCTTATTGAATTATTTGGGTCTGAGAGTCACTTTCTTCTTGTTCTCTCCAAGACATAGTCGGCCTATTTCAAAAGTGTGCTAATAATTTGTTAGTTATTATATTGGACAAGTGTTTATCGTAGAGGAAGTCTTACTCTTTCTCTCTCTATTTATATAATAATTTCAATGATTTTTAACTTGTTTACTGGCATCAGATAAGTTTGTTAAAATTATCGCAACCTATTTTTACGATGTAACGTTATGGAATTGAAACTTGAATTTATTTTTTCTCCATTAGTGTTGAGTATGGAAGCTATATATCATCAACAAAAGTTTTCCAATATGACCTGTATGCCGTGATTGAAACTATTTAACAAAAAAAAAAAAAAAAAAAAACAGCAATAATAATAATAATAATAATAATAATAATATAAATAACAAAGTGAAAAGGGTCGTAAACGCTAACATTTCTTTGGCAGGGAGAGACACAATTTAATCAACTTTTTCGTGTCACCCTCGAATTAAGTCGCGAAATGTCCAAGTCGAACGCCGATTTCAGTGCGTTCGACTTTAATGACAGCTCCGATAATTCCGATGTTGAAACACGAGCCCCGTTTCTTAGTCGCGCGGCCTTAAATAGCCACAATAATAATAGTAGCAGCAATCATCATAATGGCAATAATAACGGCCGCGGCAATTCAGGACGTACTAGCCAACGTAACGACTCGGTTAGTAGTTCTTCCAATAGTTCAAATTCGAGTAGTAACGACGATGGCGAAACAAACGAAACGACATCGGCACAACACCAGAGGCAGCAGTTGCATGCAGCCATTAATGGCAGGAGTGTTAACGAGGCCAATAACAGTAACAATAGCTGTGGTGGCGATAGTACACCGCAACACAATAACAGCGGCAGCTCCATACAACAGTCACATAATTCGGATGCTCTGTTAATGGTTGCTATGGGGACGGGTGTTGGTGGTTGTGGTAGTGCTGACGTTGATGGCGATGTTATGGGTGATGAGGGGACTTTAACGACACCGGCATCATCGTCAACGGCAGCGCCATTAACAGCAACGCACACGAATGGCTTATCAATGGATAGTAGTGCTCCTGGCAATTCGGTCGATAGTAATCATGTAAGTGGTGGTGGTGGTGGTGGTGGTGGTGGTGGTAATTGTGGTATCGATGGCAGTAGTGATGGTGGCGGCGGCTTAGCCTCAAATCTGACAGAAGCCAGTGTGCACAACAACAATTGTAATATTTCGGGTCTGCTGGATTCTGCACTGACCGGCAACGGTAATGGCCAAAACAATGGTCACTCGACCGTAAGCAGTATCAGCAACAGCAACTCCAATAATAACGGCAACATCAACAATAACAATAACAACAGCAACAATAATAACATCAGCATCAACAATAATAGCAATTGTAACGAGATTGTACGTTGCAGCAGTAGTGCCAGCTTAAGCAACAATAGCCAGCAAACAAATCATGCTGGTCTTTCTGGTAACGGGGGTGGCGGTGGTGGTGGCGGTGGCGGATCGGGTAGTCTTTGCGGTGTACCCGCATCTGCTTCGAGCTATGCTCTCTCCAATGAACGCAAGAAATATCGTCATCAAAATTATAGCAAAAACATCTATATCGGCACAAAAAACGCAGAGAAATGGGAACACATGCGAACACGATTACAGTTCAAAAACGATGTCGAATTTGTTGCCTATCTGCTAAATTTAGCCGATAACGATACCGAACGTTTGGCAAAGTAAGTATAATAATGCGAACTTTTCATTATTTATTAAAAAAATTCCTTTTTTCATGTTTCTGTGTTTATGCTTTGCTAACTTTAAAATAAAGCACAGATCGAACGCGACTACGTTATACTAGAAAAATAATTGAGATTATAAATTAGGTTATTTAATTTCGATTTGATTCTAGATTCATAACACCAAGAAGTCCATTCATTTCATTATTATCGAGACCTTAATATGCGATTTTTCATTAAAAGTTTTTGTTTTCCTTTTTTGTCTTTTTTTTTTCTTTTTTAACTCTTTCGATCGATCATGTGATATTTGCCGCCAAATGTACGATAACGGTGTATAGGAACTCTATCTAGAGAGTTTTATACAAATCCAATCCTCAGTTATTTCTCGACATAATTACTGCAAAAAAAAAAAAAAAAAAGACTCTAAGCTTCAAGGGGAAGCCATTATGAGTTTCACTATCTATTAGTTCGAAAATGCAGTTTTCGACAATCCCATCCATAGAACGTATCTTCTTACATTGCCCGAATTAATGGTCTTTAACTGCGCAGGTATCATATATGGCGTCAAAAGTATGATATTCGTCTAGAATAACGGTAACATATTCAGTTTAGTTGGTTGGATAACCAATACAATGATTGAAAATTTTTCACATATTAATTGGCTTTTTTTGAAGAATACAACAAAGAAAAAGACAAAGACAAAAAATGTTTTCCCACAAATATTTATAATATTAACGATTATTTCTTCTACAATGTATTTTGTTAGGAGAATCGTTAAATCTCGCATATGATACGTAATATACGATATTATTGATATGATTCTTCTCTCGTTAACTGTCTAAATTTGTCGGAATCGCAGCGATATAGTTGCAAAAATTTCCCAATAGTTTACGATTTTATTTACGATGTACGCGTATGATGATAATGGAACAAAGCAAAACTTGTTTTTTGCTACATATTTGGAGATTCTATCGTTGTGTAAAAGCAAAAAATTTTGTTCGTTTTTCTAAAGATAAACGTAAGTTAATATATTACTAGGTGTGAATGTATTGTCTTGTTGGCTGTTTGACTATTTGACTGACTGATTAAATGAATGAACGAATGAATGAATGAATGAATGAGTGAATGAATAAATGAATGAATGAATGGATGGATGGATGGATGGTTAGCTGGTTGGCTGGTTGGCTGGTTGGCTGGTTGTTTGGTCGGTTGGTTATTTCACTGATGATGAGATGATGTTGCTATGTTAACGGAAGCGGAAATAAAAAATACAAACACAAGCAGTAAATACATATGTATATATGTAAACATATACGCATGCATTTATACGTGTGTATACACACCAATAAACATACTTACAAACACATAGAATTAAAATAGGAAAAAAAAAACAAAAAAACAAAAAAAACATACACACTTAGTTCTTTATCGCACTCGGCTGTACAAGTCCTTTGTACCAGCAAAGATTTACGCAGAACAGTAGCGCATTAAAAAAAAAAAAAAAAAAAAAAAAATATATATATATAAACCCAAAAAAAAAAAAACTTATAAACTCTTCTTTTTTGAAGTAAGAGCAAAAATTCTTTACATATATATGTATACTCTCTATACAAAGATATGCATATATATATATATATATATACGTTTACGAGCGTGCGTGTGCGATACATTCAGAAAGAAGTTGATGATATTTGCTTTGTTGTATATTGTATGAATGCATTATAAAAGAAATGCAGCAAGTGCCCTGTGAATGCACGAAAACATGCCTATGCTTTTGTGTAATTTGGCAGTCGGTGTTAGTGCTGTGGTTGTTTGGTTTACGTATTTCCCTTTTCTTTTTTTTTTTGTTTTTTCGTCGTTTCTCAGTTCTGTGTTTTCTCTTGCTTCCGTAACAAATACTTTGCGAACGAGAAAAACCTTAAAACCAACCAAAAGTGAAATATTGTTTAAGTGCAGCTTTGAATTGCTGCACCCTGTGGTACGAGAATGTATTGGTTGCCTTCAAAATGATTGTATTGGGTTGGTTTCATGTGGTGATGTATGCTGCGGTAACTTGAGCGAGAATGTATGTGTATTTATGTGTGTATGCGTATATGTATACACATACATGCGTGCATTACTTACGACTTGCATATTTGGTTTAGGCAGGAAACTCATCAGTGTACTAACAGCAATATCCTCAGCGTACTCAGTTGCAGCTTAAATAGCACTGAAAATACGCCATTTTAATGTTTATGTATACACATATATATGCATATATATATATATATATACTAAAATTTATGTATTTGTTGTACGAAAGCACGGGCAAACGCGCGTGCATATACATGTACACATACATATACACATACGGGCGAGCACGCACATACGTACGCGTAAATTTCATTCGCATGTATTGTACACGTACATAAATAATGTGCATAAGACTAGTTCATCATTTATAGTTTCCCTCATCTTGAAACGTGAACATCTAACAGGTTGGCAAGAATGGAAGGTATAGCTCGATATTTTGCTTTACTATCTTCTTCGCCCACACTTTTGTAGGCACTCGCAATTTACATCTAATTGAAATTGAATGAAAGAACAGAAAAATAGAAAATAGAAGCAAGACATTAACGCAATTTCTTTTTTGCCCATCTAATAGAGTTTTATGTAAAATTTCAAACTTATTTATAACTTTTTTTATATAAATATGTATATATATATATATATATATATATATATACGCACAGAGTAAATGCAAAGAAATCAGAAAAACATAACAAATATTGCTTTTGTACCACTCGAATAGTACTAAAGCTGAATAACTAGTTGGCTGTTGTATATGTAGTGTGCCCTCTTACATCACGGTTTTTGACCACAAACGTTCATACGCACATGCATACAAAAGCATGCTTGCGCACACATAAGTGAACGTACAAGTACAACAGTAAGACTAACAGCACACTTGAGAATGAGCAAATGTAATTTTTGAATATGCATGAAGGTATGTATGCACGTACATACATATGTATACATTGGCATACTTATAGCTCGTACAATGCTTACGCGATATTTATACGAGGCTCTATTAGAAAATCATTGTTGATACTGTTAAATTCGTCAATTGTCTTATCTAAAAAATTTATTTATTTATTTATTTATTTTTTTTGTTTTTTTTTTTTTTCATTTGGTTTTTTTTGCACGCAATTTGTATAGATTTCGCTTGATATTAATTGTCCTGCTACGATTTCGAATGCGTGCTGATAAGCTCGCATATAATTTCGTAGATGTAATATATACAGAGTGTTCATGGTAAACGCATAGCATCTTAGTGTTTTACTATTTTGCTACAAGTAGCGCGTAATAAATATTTTGCATTTAAGTGTTCGTAACCGTATTCGAGTAAAGAGCGAGAGCGAGATATTAGTTGTTTTTGGACGTTTTTCATTTTAGAATTTTTCGCGATTATTGATCATGGCTATGACATACCGCGTTTACGGACAAGTCTTTAGCACACACTTATCGTTTAAATACTCAAAATATTGAATGAAGAAAATGACAAAGTTGACCGAAACGTTCAACATGATCCAACAACGCACGAAAGGATTTTAATTTTTGGACAGTTATGAAAA